AGATCTCCAAAGAACTAGCCGTATCAGATGAGGAGAGTGTGGTTACACAATTGCGCACCTACAGTATGATTAGTTTCTCTGCTGCCAAGATCATAATTTGCTGGTGAAAAACCTTATAAAGAAGTTCTTTGAAACTCCTAAATTTTGATTTTTTTACTAGGAATTTCTAGTCCTCTCATTTCCGTGCAATTGATGCCCAGTTGAAGCTAGCTCCATTATTTGATTTGCCCTTTGTTGCTGCATGGTAGCGCTAGTATCAAGTTGTATTGTTCTTTAATATACGAAATCGTAGTGATTGTGATGTTTTAGGAGTTAAACTTTGAAGTAAATGGATGGAGCACTTCAGGGAGTGCAGCAGAATATCAATGCATCCGGGCTAGGCATTCAAAATATTCGATCTGGTGTCGGGACGGTAGCGGTAAGCAACGATTCTTCTTTGTTTCCCTTATCTTTCGCTCTTCTCAAGCTGCCTCAATAATATCATTAAAGTTTAAATGTTTACAAAATGTTTTAAGGTTTACGTTCGTTTCTTCAATCTCACGGGTACAGATGTTGATGTAATCTGGATAAACGAAGAGGTATCAAAACTTGGATTTATTTTAATCTTTATTATTACCTCACATTATTGGCGAGACCGAGTAAAAAAAGCAGAGCTAGTCTTGTTGAGCATCTTCAGTGAAACTTAATCAAATGATTGCACATTTGATAAGCAAAGATCAGATCACTTGTTGTAAGTTCGTGCAGAGAATGGATTTTTTGAGTTTGTATATATTAGCTTCTTCAGCTTTTTTTTCCTCTGGAATTCTACGTATGCTGTTTTAGGGTAGAGGAATTCGCTATGGGCAATTGAAAAAATCGCAGTATCTTGATATTAACACTTATGAAGGGCATCCATGGATTTTTCGAGAGTCTGGCGTTGGAGACCTTCTTGTAGGGCAACCTGGTCGGATCACAGTGAGTTATTCTTGATCGTTGCTAAAGTTATTTGTTTCTTATGTTAAAAATCTATCTACAAGTCTTAGCAAGTTTTTTT